TTACCGTTTGTGTTTTTAAATAATTAGTTTTATATTTTACATCTTCTTTTCCTTCTTACTGTTTGTGTTATTAAATAATTATTTTTATATTTTACATCTTCTATTCCTTCTTACTGTTTGTGTTATTAAATAATTAGTTTTTATATTTTACATCTTCTCTTCCTTCTTACTGTTTGTGTTATTAAATAATTAGTTTTTATATTTTACATCTTCTCTTCCATTCTTACTGTTTGTGTTATTAAATAATTAGTTTTTATATTTTACATCTTCTCTTCAAAAATATAAAACTAATTATTTAATAACACAAACAGTAAGAAGGAAGAGAAGATGTAAAATATAAAACTAATTATTTAATAACACAAACGGTAAGGAGGAAGAGAAGATGTAAAATATAAAACTAATTATTTAATAACACAAACAGTAAGAAACATCTTCTTTTCCTTCTTACTGTTTGTAAGTTTTCATATTTCCTGCTTACAATATATTTCAGGTTTAAAAAAGGATAATTCCTGAATAATATATTCGTTGTTAGAAGTCAACGTTTTTTTATTCAAAAGTCTATTCGTGAATTTCTTTTTCTGGCTGTCTGCTTGTCTTTCCAACTGATGATACATGCCGATGGTATTGCCAGTTTGACGAATTTTCATTTAAATCTGTCACTTGCTCCTAACCCTCTCAGTCCGAGCTTATCATTCGTCACCCACGTGTTTATCAGCGGCAGCCAGTAGACAACAACGTTCCGTATGATCGAATGTCTCCTTATAGTAAAATCATCGGGAATTGGCTAAACTTTAAAGTGTTGTTTGAAAACCCGAATATGACAGTAATGACACAGTTTGACGTATCTGGCCGAAAAAAACAAACATTAGCCACGAGTAAGTCGTGAACCTGTAAACATTTCTGTTAGTTACAACCGCTGACCAAAAGTTCAAAGGTTAAGTTAGGCAGTTTCTAACCTGCAAATTCTCTTTAAATTAAAAAGTATCGTATTAGATAACATTCTTTAGAAACCTTAAGTCAATTATCAATAACTTTTGTTCCAGCAAAGTAAGTAAAAACTAACAAGAGTATAAATAAACCAACATATCGGTTTACATTCGGTTAATTCACTAATTAACCAGTTGGGTTAATACACTAATTAATCAGTTGGGTTAATACACTAATTAATCAGTTGGGTTAATCTAATAATTAACCAGTTGGGTTAATACACTAATTATCCAGTTGGGTTAATACACTAATTAACCAGTTGGGTTAATATACTAATTAACCAGTTTGGTTAATCTCATAATTAATGAGTTGGGTTAATCTGATAATTAATGAATGGGGTTAATCTAATAATTAATGAGTTGGGTTAATCTGATAATTAACCAGTTGGGTTAATATACTAATTAACCAGTTGGGTTAATCTAATAATTAATGAGTTGGGTTAATCTGATAATTAACCAGTTGGGTTAATCTAATGATTAATGAGTTGGGTTAATCTGATAATTAATGAGTTGGGTTAATCTAATAATTAATGAGTTGGGTTAATCTGATAATTAACCAGTTGGGTTAATATACTAATTAACCAATTGGGTTAATCTAATAATTAACCAGTTTGGTTAACCTAATAATTAATGAGTTGGGTTAATCTGATAATTAATGAGTTGGGTTAATCTGATAATTAACCAGTTGGGTTAATATACTAATTAACCAGTTGGGTTAATCTAATAATTAATGAATTGGGTTAATCTAATAATCAATGAGTTGGGTTAATCTGATAATTAATGATTACAAACGTTTCTATCTATTAAAAGAAGGGCTAATGGTTTTACTGAATACAAACGTTTCTATCTATTAAAAGAAGGTACTAATTGTTTTACTGAATACAAACGATCTATTAAAAGAAGGTACTAATTGTTTTACTGAATACAAACGTTTCTATCTATTAAAAACTGAATACAAACGTTTCTATCTATTAAAAGAAGGTACTAATTGTTTTACTGAATACAAACGTTAGTACCTTCTTTTAATAGATAGAAACGTTTGTATGGTTTTACTGAATACAAACGTTTCTATCTATTAAAAGAAGGTACTAATTGTTTTACTGAATACAAACGTTTCTATCTATTAAAAGAAGGTACTAATTGTTTTACTTTATTTTCAGTCAGCTACGACGTATCCTGTTCCAGCACTGTAATGAAAGTAGTTGTAATGATGAATGACCCAGACGCAGTAATCTACCTTGACAAGCTCAGAGGTTATCCAGGTTTGTTTCATCTAAACAGAAAGCCGAGATTACCTTAAGTTTCACACTGTTTGTATCTTTAATTAAATGTTTAAACAGAAAGCTGTGATTACCTTAAGTTTCACACTGTTTGTATCTTTAATTAAATGTTTAAACAGAAAGCCGAGATTACCTTAAGTTTCACACTGTTTGTATCTTTAATTAAATGTTTAAACAGAAAGCTGTGATTACCTTAAGTTTCACACTGTTTGTATCTTTAATTAAATGTTTAAACAGAAAGCCGAACAATACCAGAAGATTTGAACAATAACGTTTAAGGGTTAGCTTAGTACCAGTGGACTTGAACGATAATTATTATGTGTTATCTCAATACTAGTAGACTTCAGTAATAACGTTTAAAGATTATCTCAATACTAGTAGACTTCAGTAATAACGTTTAAAGATTATCTCAGTACTATACTTGAACAATAACATTTAAAGGTTATCTCAATACTAGTAGACTTGAATAATAACATTTAAAGGTTATCTCAGTACTAGTAGACTTGAACAATAACATTTAAAGGTTATCTCAGTACTAGTAGACTTGAACAATAACATTTAAAGGTTATCTCAATACCAGTAGACTTGAACAATAACGTTTAAAGGTTATCTCAGTACTAGTATACTTGAACAATAACATTTAAAGGTTATCTCAATACTAGTAGACTTCAGTAATAACGTTTAAAGATTATCTCAGTACTATACTTGAACAATAGCATTTAAAGGTTATCTTAGTACTAGTAGACTTGAATAATAACATTTAAAGGTTATCTCAGTACTAGTAGACTTGAACAATAACATTTAAAGGTTATCTCAGTACTAGTAGACTTGAACAATAACGTTTAAAGGTTATCTCAGTACTAGTACACTTGGCATTCAAAGGTTATTTTAGTACTAGTAGACTTGAACAATAACATTTAAAGGTTATCTCAGTACTAGTAGACTTGAACAATAACGTTTAAAGGTTATATCAGTACTAGTAGACTTGAACAATAACGTTAAAAAGTTATATCAGTACTAGTAGACTTGAACAATAACGTTTAAAGGTTATATCAGTACTAGTAGACTTGAACAATAACGTTTAAAGGTTATCTCAGTACTAGTAGACTTGAACAATAGCATTTAAAGGTTATCACAGTACTAGTAAACTTGAACAATAACATTTAAAGGTTATCACAGTACTAGTAAACTTGAACAATAACGTTTAAAGGTTATATCAGTACTAGTAGACTTGAACAATAAAGGTTATCTCAGTACTAGTACACTTGAACAATAGCATTTAAAGGTTATCACAGTACTAGTAAACTTGAACAATAACATTTAAAGGTTATATCAGTACTAGTAAACTTGAACAATAACGTTTAAAGGTTATATCAGTACTAGTAGACTTGAACAATAACGTTAAAAGGTTATATCAGTACTAGTAGACTTGAACAATAACGTTTAAAGGTTATATCAGTACTAGTAGACTTGAACAATAACGTTTAAAGGTTATCTCAGTACTAGTAGACTTGAACAATAGCATTTAAAGGTTATCACAGTACTAGTGAACTTGAACAATAACATTTAAAGGTTATCTCAGTACTAGTAGACCTGAACAATAACGTTAAAAGGTTATATTAGTACTAGTGAACTTCTTATATACAACTTCTTAGCATCTTATGTATTCCGTATATATTTGTCGTGTGTTTACTATACTGTTGTGATGAGTTCAACATCTTATATACTCCGTATATATTTGTCGTGTGTTTACTATACTGTTGTGATGATTTCAACATCTTATGTATTCCGTATATATTTGTCGTGTGTTTACTATACTGTTGTGATGAGTTTAACATGTTATGTATTCAGTATATATTTGTCGTGTGTTTACTATACTGTTGTGTTGATTTCAACATGTTATGTATTCAGTATATATTTGTCGTGTGTTTACTATACTGTTGTGTTGAGTTCAACATCTTATGTATTCCGTATATATTTGTCGTGTGTTTACTATACTGTTGTGATGATTTCAACATCTTATGTATTCCGTATATATTTGTCGTGTGTTTACTATACTGTTGTGATGATTTCAACATCTTATGTATTCAGTATATATTTGTCGTGTGTTTACTATACTGTTGTGTTGAGTTCAACATCTTGTGTATTCAGTATATATTTGTCGTGTGTTTACTATACTGTTGTGATGATTTCAACATCTTATGTATTCCGTATATATTTGTCGTGTGTTTACTATAATGTTGTGATGAGTTCAACATCTTATGTATTCAGTATATATTTGTCATGTGTTTACTATACTGTTGTGATGATTTCAACATCTTGTGTATTCCGTATATATTTGTCGTGTGTTTACTATACTGTTGTGTTGATTTCAATATCTTGTGTATTCCGTATATATTTGTCGTGTGTTTACTATACTGTTGTGATGAGTTCAACATCTTATGTATTCAGTATATATTTGTCGTGTGTTTACTATACTGTTGTGTATGTTGTGTATGTTTTATGTAGTTGTGTGGTTAATATTTGTTTGTTACTAAATAGTGCGCAAAGCGAGTCGAAACTTATCTGTGTTTGTTCCTAAGTTGAAGTGATAGACTCAAAATAAGGTAGCTAGTCAATAAAACCCACCGCCAACTTTGAAGCTACTCTTTACCAACGAATATTAAGACAATCCTTCATACTCTAACGCTTTCAGGAATGAAAGAATGAGCATGTTTGGTGGCGGGATTTGATCCCGCGATTGATAGAGAACAAATCGAGTGCTTTTACCCCAAGACCGTAAAAGTCAACAGCGAGATGGCACTACTTGAAATCCAGACAAGAATGTTCTATTCTTGACATTTCTCAACCACAAATATTCAAATATCCGTCTACCACTCGCCCTCAGTAGCTCAGCGGTAAGTCTGCAGGCTTACGACGCTAAAAACCGGGTTTCGATACCCGTGGTAGCAGAACACAGCCAAATGTGTACCTAAACAATAACCAGACTAAATGTCTATCAGTCTAGGTTCTAATTTTAAATGACTGTATTGACTAACCCGATTAAACTGGTGGATTTATTATATGGACTTTTCTTAATTTTCAAAACAATACCTAGAGTATTTATTTTCCCTTTTGAACTCTTGTTAATATTAGATAATATTCATATAATATCTACTCCATGCACTGGTAACTCATTGATTGAGTTGGATCGTACACTATGAAAGTTTATATTTGAATTTTTGGAAGTCAGGACTTTTAGTTTTTTAACACAATAAAGTAATCAACAAGTATTTGTTCTAGAATTTTTCAACTCGAACCCGTGTTATAGTTACTTCTCCAATCCTTCAACTTCTTTGTAAATAGAAACTGCTAGTTTTGTTGTTGTCTTTTCAAAATTGGGAAGCGCACAGCTATAAACTTCACTCAGTAGTAATTTAAGTTGTCCTGTTTTTATCTAGAGGGAAGAAGATGGCCGGTATTATTATACAAAGGCTGCTTACAGCATCGTGCTAACACTGGCGTTCGATTTTAGAAAATTCTATATAAATGGTGAGTGACGATGCATTTACTTTTCACACTATATTCTGATCTGAAGGTTTTGGTTTCTTTTTTGCCAGACTGCCAGGCGGAAATCAACGCAGGGCGAGCAACGTTTCTTCTTCCCCTAGACAACATCAACGCCTGTGGTACAATCCGAGTCCTTAACAAGATAACGGTAAACACTGACATTGAGTTCAGATAAACTCCTGTCGTGACTTTCACTTTCGCCTTTTCTACTAGAACTAATGAGTTAATTGTGGGTGTAATTAATCCAGCTGATCTTAAATACGATCAATAGAGAACAAGAAATTAAACAGAAAATTGTGGAATTGCTGTCTATAAGGATCTTCTACGATTTTTGTTTAAGATACTAACGTCTTCTGTCAAGAAATCATTGTATTTTTATCATCTTATTTACAGGGAGAGAGAATTTTCTATCACAGAGTTGTCATTGACCACCAGATGGAGCCAAAAGAGATCATTTTAGTGAAGTGTATTATTCCTAGCGGGTCTCACCAGTTATCTTGGCATAATAAAACCAAAAGAAACGTTCTTCCTGAGAACTTTGTTGAACCCGAGTGAGTTTTTTAATTACGAATTTTATTTAGTGTTAGTTTTGCTTTTTATTTAATATTATCTTATAAAAAAATCCATGTTGTTTGAGTAAAAGTTTCAAGTTCAAACAAAATAATGCTGTAGCTTTTAAACGTTATTTTAATTTTGTATTTTTAATTATTCAAACAAAATAGCGTTATGAAGTACACAATAATAACTAAAATAATAGAACAATACAAAACAACAACAATCAAAATGTGAAGAACATAATAATAACTAAAATA